TTTTTTCAATTTTCCCTTTCAAAGTTAGAACAAAATACCACTTAAAGAGATAGCTGAAATGTTTTGAAGTGGATTTCTGTGAAAATGTTTTGAACAATTATGTAATCTAGTGTAGACAGCTCTTTGAACAGCTTCATTTTAGTGGGAATCAAATTTAATTCTGATTAGATTGATGAGCTGATGGCTAATCTGAGCAGGGCCACGTCTCTGCTGCGCTCTTTTGTCCTGTGAACCCTTAAAAAGCCTCTTTTTTTTCCTGCATACCTCTTAATTGGAAGGATCAGCTGGTCTCTCAACAAAATCGATCAACTTCTCCCGACAGGAGTCAGGGTAAGGAGGACCCTCTGAACTCTAGAGGAAAAATTGGATTCGTGATGACAACTAGAATCTCCTGTTTGGGTTGGTGGAATCTGGTTGTCTACAAATTCGTGTGGAGGTGTTGAAGCTTGACAGTGCTCGGACTGAATGTGGAGCTGTGACAGGGATTTGGAGCAGCTGTATCAGGACTGTGATCTCCCTGGCAGCACTCATGAATGGTGGAATAATCTTGGAGAAGCTGTGAGCTCGACTTTAGAGTAAAAGATCAATTCGGCTGTTTTGGAGTTTCCATCAGAGAATATGTACCAGCGAGACTTTAAAAGCAGAAACAACAATTCACGAGTTCTGCCTGACCCAAACTGTGGCCTTGATGCCGGACTTATCTCAACTTCTCCTGGAATGTTTAGAAAACAACAAAGATGCTTTGACTGTCTCCTCATCCCTCCCTTCCTCAAGGCCATGGGCATGTAACAGAACCTCAACTGAGCTGAAGATGAACGTCACCTCTTATCTGGACAATGGCTGAGGGGGGGCTCTGGACTATGCTACGTCTTTCCCTTAAAAATTCAATGTTTTCACCGCCTATATGTAAATGTATAACGTCTGTTTATGTTGCTTTGCTGTGGTAGATTTTTTTGATGCCTCAAATTGTGCCCTGTCTAGGACACGGTGTGAGAGATCTTTTTTTTATACCGTCTCTCCTCATGTTTTCTTTCCTTTTCTTATCTAAGCAAAATATTATTCGGAATAAGAATAAGAAGGCCGCGCTGATTATTTTAGCTGCAGCTTCGTGCACTCCGCCCATCTTCGGATGACTGTACGTACATATTCGCGTTGTATCTCGGTGCAATGCCAATAAAGTTTATTCTGATTCTGATTCTAAAGTAAATTGCTGTCTCATAATGACTTTAATCTCTAAAGTTTCATAGTGGTTCTTGCAACCACTATTTTACAAACGTTTTTCAACAACAGATTTACATTACATGAATATTTGAAGTGCCACAGCCTGCATCACAATTGCTACAGCTAGCTGCCATTGTTTGTCATGCAGGTAACCTTAGAAATAAAGTAAAATAACTGTGTAAAGTGGAAAAAAAGAAAGAAAAAAAAGGAAACAAATTAAACAAAATTGTGCATGGACTGGGATTAGAGTTGATAGAATGCTATCCTAAAAGACTTTCACATTTAATTAGCGTGTGGACAGCACGAGGCTGAACAAGTGGGAATGAACTACAACGTGTCACACTAAATATTACTGTTTTCCCTATAAGTCACATCAGTCCAAATATGTCTAATAAAGTGAAAAAATCCATAAATACATCGTTTCGCTGTATACGTTGCATCTATTATGTGTTACCGTTGACGCGTTGCGTTTGTTAAGCGTCACTGCTGACAACCCGGAAATGTGGGCTGGTGTTGTGCCAAAAATTGATTGGCTGCCAAATGGCGATTGCGGGAATGTGCACGGGAGCACTTTAACAAGTATTTAACAAGATTAACACTTAAAAACAATTATTTGTTTGCTCGACTTTATAGTAAAGGTGTGTCTCAGTCTAAGTTTTACTTAATAAAAGGACTTAATGGTCAAATCAGCTGTATTTCAAAAGTATTTGCTGCCTCGATGCTCCGGAAGTACGCAGACGGTGGGAATCATGAAGTAGGCTCGCTGCGCGTTTCTTCAAAATTTAGCAAGATAAGCACCTAAAATATTATTTGTTTGCTCGACTTTATAGTAAAGGTGTGTCTCAGTTGAACTTTTACTTAATAAATGCACTTCAATGGTCAAATTAGCTGCATTTCACCGGGGCGGCACAGCGAAATGAAACAGATTTGACAGTTGCTCCAGGTGAGCTGGACGAAGGTGGCAGTCTATGGCTAGCCGACTGTGTCATTAATAGTCAGCTTTACTTATTACATGACACAACGGCATGCCATACTTCCCGAGTGCCATCTAGAGCCTGAAAATGGTATTGTTCAGTATTTTCAGTCAAAATGAATGAAAACGATCATATCTCAGCCAAAAATTGGTTTATAAGTATGGGAAAAAACATAAATATGTTGCTTTGGCACAAGGCATGCAAATTATGCAAAAAAAAAATTGACTTATAGGCCAAAAAATACAGTATATATTTTCTTTTCTCTCAGATGCTCCCTCAAGGGCCCAGAATGGGGGGAATGAGGGTGGAGGCAGGTCTGGGTGTTTTAACTTTTTCTCCCAAATTTTGGTTGCCAGTCCAGGGATTCAAATCTGCAATCTTCCAGTCACAAACTTGTCTTTCTGTAACCTCTCCACCACCACTTCTCACTGAATATCATATTATGAGTTAAAACCAAAAGCTTACTTAATTTTCACTTTGACGACTCTTTAAATATTGGTCACAAAGCTGCATCTTACCTCGACAGTTACTGTGATCTCAGTGGAGTAATCAAACTTATATGTAAATTTGTTCAGACTCACTAAAACCAGATGAAAAATATAGCACAAACCAATTAACATCACCTGCACATATTGGTTACAAAGAACGCAACTTACATGGCATATTGCGTCTCTCCTGACGTAATCTGGCACTTTCACAACAATAAATGAATTACACCCACTCTCTTTACCTGCATAGCCTCTCAAGTGTAAAACTGTTTCTTTGCCTAAATTATTGCAAGTGTTTTCAGAGTTGCACTTGAGTAATGTGTTTGAATGTAGTGCATTGCTTGCAGAGATGTACATGCATCCTTTTACCTAATGTGAAACTATGCACACCTTGATGTGTGCTTTGTCTTTGCATGTAATTATGCAGGTGCATGGATATTTGCATTTGGATGTGTGTGTCAGCAGGCTATCAGTGGAGCACAGCAGAGCAGGAGACATAAAACAGATAACAGCATTACTGCCCATTTTCCAGCACATTAGCAGCAGCAGGGCCTGATGGGAGCCTGTAATGAAAGGTCCTGCCTTGGCCGAGTCATGGGTGAGCACAGTCCAAACTCTGTGCATTTATCCTTCCCTCCATTTCCCCTTCCTCTCCTCACCTTTTCTCAACCATAACTCCTCCTCCTCCTGCTGCTGTGAATCCCCGGAGGCTTGTGATTGTGTCAGTCCCCTAACTCCCCTTTTGTGCCCTTTCTGTAATCTCTCCCCTGCCTCCCTCTCAGCCACACATCTACCTCCACTTTCTCCTCATTCTCCCTCCTCACCTTGTGTGCTTCTGCTCCCTTGACTCACACATGTTTTCTGTCTTTTTTGGTGGGGGGGCTGCCCCACCAGCTTGATTCACCTAAACTGTCGTTCTTGTTCTGCTCTTTCCTTCCTCTTTCTCCATCTGCTCCCCTGGGTACTAATCCAGGAAACCTGGACCGCAGTGAAGTTGGCAGAGAGGTGGAGAAAGCACACACATGCACTGCACATCTCTGTAATTCGCAAACACACAACTGCAGAGTGGGCTGTGGGGACTTTGTTTGACCTGTGTGTCAGTCCCCATGGCAGGGAATTTGTAAGTGCGCACATGCAAGACTGCAAAAAAGGGGAAAAATGTGCCAAGTAATCCCATGACAGCCGTTAGCAGCTGAGGGCATAAGCTGTTTCTGCTCCACTAACTGATGTGCACTTCTTGGAGACATGGCTAAATTAAAGGCAGGTGAGTGCTTAAGGAATGGAGGCCAATCCTCGGTCTCGGCATTTTCTTTTAAATACCATTTTATTTTCACTTGTTATTCTCAATTAGTACGCATCCTTTATGATTGTCTATTGTTGTTTTTGATGTCCGCTGTTGTCATCATTGTTTAAATCAGGTCTCTCTTGTAAATGAGTCCCTGAGACTCAATGGGATTAACCGGTATAAATAAAGGTTGAACGAATGGACACAAACTTTGGGTAGTGATCAAAAGAATGAGATTGCAGATAGAAATCAGTCAAAAATATTTTTTTCTCTCTCAGAGATTGGGTAAGAAGTCCAATTATTCAGGAGAATCTTAAAGTGTAGCCACTGCTGCTTCACATCGGAAATTGGGGGTAAATAATCTTCTTTTTTTTTTTTTTTGCAGGAAGCAGCAGCTTTTTAATAAATCGAATGCTTGAACCCTCATATCTGAGTCTCGTGTCCTCCTTAATATGTTGTGTTCTTGGTGGATGTAACACTCACAGTATTCCATTTCAGCGTTTCACTACACAGTAATTAAACGTTCCAGTAGTCACAATTCTGAGATTACGGGGGTAAAAGTAATCTCATATTCTACACTGTTCTTATTATTTAGGATATTATTGATTAAAGTTTAAGTGTTAATCATTCCCACAACAATAGCAACACAAAGGTTGGGAAATCACAAACTCAATTTTAAAAATGTGTAAGTTTCAAAAAAGGATGTAAACTACTAAAAAAACGAAAGAAAAAAATTGCATTCCTACTGAAGGCAAATGTTGACTGAGGAAAAGTAAAGTGACAGCAGCTGAAATAAACATTTATCAAACTGTGCACCACACTGATACTAACCCAGCACATGTCATGTTTTCAAGTTTGGAAATGGGAAATAGTTCCCAAAATAACACTCTGCACTCTGAGTTACTCGAAGGGAATAAAAAGTGTATTCAGGCTGGTGGTAGTTGGGGAAATTGATTTCCGATCAAATATATTTGTGACAAACTTACAATTCCAAAGATCTAATTAAAATAGAAATAGTATATGGAATGTAATTATTATTTATATCGATAGTTTGCATTTTATTCTAAAAGCATTAATAACATGTCCAACAGTGTCCCACATAAACCTACAGCATTCTGCTCAAATCTGGTCATTGTATGCAAAGCCATTGTTTATAATACTGCTTTTTTAAATAAAACATGTTAACCCTCAACTTCAATAATCATTTTAATTTGTTATTTATTAATTATCATTATTTATATTGTGAATACAGGTACACACGATTTTAAATAACGTCACTGTATAAATAAATATAGAAAATATAAATTTTGGTTTATTAATTAACTGAACCATTTTGTCTGTGATTTCTGTACAAGTAGATCACAGCAAATACCTTAAAGCAAAGGTTCACATGCAATTACTATGCACATATGTTGTAAAAACTTCAAAGTTTTCAATTAAATCCTTTACATCGAGCACTTCTCAATCTCAGAACCTAAGCACAGTGATGATAAAATATAAATCACCCAGAAGGAACAGAGTCATTTGGATGTAATTTGGTACAGATGCAGAGCAGAAATGGGCATGTTATTGATTCTATGTGCAAAGATTTAGCACAGCTAGAACAGACCCTGGGGGTCAGTGGTGGGATCAGTGTCAAAAATGAAAATTAGCAGAGACAAAGAATGCCTTGGACGGCATTACCAGCACTTGATGGAGTTTGAAAGGTGACACACTGGGTTTACATGAGCTCAGTGTGTTGCAATGTTGGAACCAGTAAAGAAGAACCCACAGATGCTGTGCAGATTCAGGTTACCCAAGACAGCCCAAACCATTTGAGGACCATAAGAGTGTGTGAAAAACATTATATAGTCCCATTACATCTGTGCCTACCATCCACACAGACTCAAACTCTTTACAACACGATGTGCCATTCAGCTCTGCATCTTGCCAACTGGCCTCAGTTAAACTACAGGTTCACTTAGGCTGCCAAGAAGATCAGAGCAGAAAGACGTCGACTGATGATGAATTTTCATGTGTGGGATCAGCTTGGACGTCAACTCTGACCCAATCTTGATGAGTTTGATCCCAAAGGCCAGTTACAGCTGAGTTACCACAGAAAAGAACACAACTGTTTGACTCATGCAGGCCAGAGAGGTGGCACACCCCACTAACACGGGACTACTTCAATTCAGTTTATTTATATAGCGCCAAGTCACAACAGAAGTCATCTCAGGGCACTGAACAGAAATATTCATATTTATTAAAAAAAAATAAATCAAGCTAACACTATTTATCTAAGGAGCAGAGTGCTTTGACTTTAACTCCATCGCAGACTCTCATTTGAGCAAGCATGAGGCAACATTGTGCACATACTGCCAACTCTGTTTTAACATTATAATTGCTGTAATAGAATCAGATGACCTTAAAACAGGTGCCGTTTCATTTCATTCCAACCACTAAGTCTGGGTGCTTAAATGTTTTGGCAGTGCGTGCATGAATTGAATATTGAACCCAACAAAGTAAGACTCAGTCAGTTGGACTTTACCTCTGTCTGTGTCATACAGGAAGACAAATCGGTTCCAGTCATAGTGGTCCAGCAAAGACAATAAAGCTCCTCTGATAGATGGTCGAAGTTGCAGTGTGAACTGTCCCTCCCCCTCGTTGGGGAAGCTGGGTGTCACCAGGCTGATGTGCAGGGCCCCACAGAACGACGTCAGCGTGTTCACTGACCGTTTGTCGTAGAGTCCAAAGATGGCAAAGACGCCTCTTGAATACTGCGAACAGACTGATATGAAGAAGTGATGGACATGGGGATGAAGAGATCCAGATGGAAAATGGAAAAAAAAAAAAGACAATTAGTCAACCAAAATTCAAAGTGTCCTGCATCACAATACAAACATGTTGTTTTTATTTCATGTCTTTCCAATCTACAGCAAAAATCATTTGAAACAATGTGTTTAACTCAGCAGCTTAAAAACAGCAAATCAAATATGCAGAGGACCGGGAGGACTTGAATGGAGCACACTGGCCTTAATTAAATTGACAGTGTGGAATATGTTTAAGTATGCCAAGCATTTTAATGAGCGAGTGGTTAAGCTTGTGTCAGCCATACAGTACCTATTCACTCCTAATTAGACCCACAAACTGTGTTTTGAATACTGCAAGTCAATGAAATGTCAAAAATCCCTTATTAACCTGAACCGATCTGCAAGATGCATCAATCAAATATGACTCAGCAGCCAATAAACCTGATTTATAGCACCTGGAGTAAAATCTTTTCAGAATCATAACAAACATGTGGTTATTTAGTCCAAGCAAAAACATTTGCACACACCAGTTTTGAAAGCAGAGAATGTTAAAAGACCATGGCGAGTAATTTTCATTTATTTTGATTATCACAAAATCATTCCCATGAGCTAAAAGTGACTTTTCTACTTAAACAGTTATTAAGGAAATAACAGTTAAATATCTGCTTTGAGCTAAATATCTTTAAAGTCCATTGATCCACACACACACACACACACACACACAAACATTCAGATGAAAACCGTTGATTTGTCCACCAACACAACATAAAGTTATAGTTCGGAACTTTTTTGAGGTTATTTTGAAAGGTTATTAACAAATAATATCTTACTTGCACTAGACAGCTCTTTAATTCACCTCAATTTGAAGAAACAAAGACTAATGTTTAATCTTGGAGCATACCAGATTAGTTCTGAGAAACAGACAAACTTAAAGCTAGCTGTTTCATTGTTATGCTGATGACTGCCAGATTTATCGGCACTTAAAACCCAACAGTTCCTGCTCCATTCACCCTCTGTTAAAATGTCTCAATCATATCAAGACATGGATGGATTCAAATTGTTTAAGTTTTAATGATCAGAAAATTGAAGGCATGCTGTTTAGCCCTAGCTCTACCGCCGTCACTCATCCTGTAAATCTGACCCATCTTCAGCCTTATCGTAAGCAGTTCATTAATAGTAATAATAATAATAATGTCATCACAATGTCAGCACTGTATGTTTCCATACAATGGCGAAATTAGTCTCTGCATTTAACCCATCCACCACCAGGTGGTGCAGTGGGCAGCTATTGAAAGGGCCCGGGGGGCATTACGAATCTCAGGATGGTTTTAGACTCGGACTTTAAGTTTAATAAACAGATTAACTTTGTTTGTCAAAAAAGCTCCTTGCAGTTAAGGCAGATAGCTAAGCTTAAGTCCATGTTGACCAGATCTGACCTTGAAAAATGAGTCCATGCATTTATAAACCAGGTGTGCAATCCAACAATTTTCAGTCAGGTCATCTGGACAGTTTCTTTTTTTTTGCTGAAACGTTTCACCTTCCATCCAGAAGGCTTCATCAGTCAAGGAAACACAAAACACAAAACTGATTCTTCCCCCAAACAGCTTACTCCAAAGTGGAACAAACCAGTTTTGTTGGTGCTAAGATGGTTTCTTTGGTATGCCCCTCCTCCATTGCCGGCAAGACCAAGACTAAAGTGGATCGCGCAACAAACACTACCAGTAGTTTATGTCTTTACACTCCGGTCTGTTTGCAATAGATTGTTGTTCTGGCAGAAATATGGTATCCCTGCTGGAAGTTGCCCAAGTTGTACTGGATGTGTGATGGCTACCTGGCTACCTCGCAGATGAACAGAATTAAAAGAAAAATGTAAATAACCAAATAATAATTAAAAAATAATGTAAATGCTATAATTTAATATTTACATGTTTTGCTATAAAATATTTGACATGTATGTTGTTTTAAGATGAAAGCAATTCACTTTGGTCCTGCTCCAACTAGCTGAAGGTTGTCAGTTGGTCAGAGCTAGACTTGTATTCTTTAGACTAAAACCCGTCAAAGAACTATTTACATCACATAAAATATTCAGTTTTCATAACATTTCCAGAAACCTACTTCATAAAAATCTGATAAAAAATCTAGTCCTTTTCCACAGATCTGTGCAGTTTACTCTCAACAGACTCCACAGTGATAAACACAAGAATGGAAAGCGGGTGATGATTTCTGATTTTTATTTTTCACCAAACCATCTTTCTGCTGCAGCACTTGTTTTACAGGTATTTGGGATTCTGTTAATTCACTTTAAAATAACGGCACCCATCCAGTCTGAATATAGTTATAAAACGTGTCAACATTTTCCCCCTCCTTGAATATATTTTGCTTTTTTCTCCATCATGTTTCTTCCTCTTATGTCCTCTCTTCCCTTTCCTCTTCAGCCCAATGATGTCTGTCAGATTCCTTCAAATGAACATTTTTTTATTTGACACTGGCTCCGTGCTGCATCATAATTCATCACCCTTCATGCAATTTGTCACGCAGGAGTAAACAGTAAGACAGCAACACTGCAGGGTTTTCTCTCAACAACAACTCTGCAACCTTTCTCTCAATTATATGTTTTGTGCATCACATCATTTTACACTTTTGTTCTTGTTTTTAGGACAAACAAACACCACCCATACTCTCTTCCAGCCTCCACCGTTGTCTCTCATTCAACTCTTCTCCCTCTGTTCGCCTGTGACTGCCTCCTTTCTGTTCCTCCCTCCCTCCGACAGGGACTCAGAGTAATTCCATTATCAGCTGTAAGCCTCACTGGGGGTAAACATGGAAGGAAACGCAGCTCTGACGCTTCAGCTTGTGGCAATTAAACAAAGCCCGGGCCCCGGCACCCGGTCGATGATAAGGCAGGGATTTAGCCTCTGATTATGACAGGAGCTAAATGTCTTCAGATCAGAGAAGCAGCAGCCGAGAGCTGAGTCATGGCGTCCTAAGCATTCTTAACATACTTTATAATGTTTATCACAATAAATCCACATATTTCAGATGTTTCTGAGGGCATGACAGATGAGTATGGAGACGAGTCTGAGTGATAAATGATCAGCGTTACACCGAGAAACCAGGAAAGTTTATTATGTTGAATACTCAAAAATTATGTTATAACTCTAGTCAGATAAAAATCTAAATGACAGTAAAATGGATTGAAGCCAAAAGACGGGAAATCATATGGAACAAAAAGAAAAAGAGTGACACCTTTCCATTTCCAATGGCAGCTAATGGAGTTTATGGTTAAAAAATAAATGATGTTGCACTCTATGTTAAAAAAAACGAACCTCACGTTGTTTGTTTGCTGTTATAACTCAGTTTTGTAGAAGCTGAGCTAAAGTCTGGCATGGTAGTAGCTGACAATCATCTCCAACACATACTCTGTTCTGAGATGTGAGATCTGGCTTTACTTCAGTCAGTTTTACACTCACTGCGCTAAAATCTGGCATGGTAGTAGCTGAGAGTAATCCTCAACACACTCTAAGAACAGGATTTGATGTATAATGCAAGGCAGTCGACAATATGCGTACCTCCCAATAATCCTATATTTTTTTGTTTATTCTCCACTTGTTGTGAAGTTGTGTTGTTAATAGGTTTCTCTCCGTTTACAACATTGAATGAAGTTACACAATTTTTTTAAATAATTTTTTGTTTGTTAATTATTATATATGACCTCAGAGACCATTTATATTTTACTTAAGTTTGTGTCACACTCAGTATGTTCTGTCCTGAAGAATAATCATTTGTGTTTTGACAACAGATGTGTAATGTCTAAATTTACTGTTGCTAAAAACCTTTATTTAACCAAGGAAATCCCACTGAGATCACAAATATATTTAGCAAGGGGGCCTAGGCCCAAAAACAGCCTGAATATGCATGTTTTGGACTGTCAAAATAAACAGAGTACCTGGAGAAAACCCACACAAACAGGGGGACCTGCAAACTCCACACAGAAAAACCCCAGGTCCAACCTGGAGATTGAACTCTGCACTTGCTCTCATGCAAGGCGAATACCTTTCCTCTCCCTCTCCTGTTCTCCTCCTGCTTTTTTTTTCGCTCTCCGTCTGTGTATCGGAGCTCCTATTACACTTCTTCCAAAACTAAAACTACTGTCATGAATTTGGTCAGCTGGACTTTCACCGCAGTCGACAAAATCTTTTCAACAAAGCGACAAGGTCCTGGAGAGCCCTCATGCCCCGCTGAGACTCATGCGGCAGGATACGTCATGGATCCATGGGGAGTTTGGGAGCTGATGTGTCTTTCTGTTTTCTCTCAGGAGGACGTCAAAGATGTTTATATAATTGGAATCATGATAGCAGGGTTTCTGCTTTTTGGCATCGGCGGATTTCTTTGTTATCGGCTATTGAGGAAGACATCAGCAGCAGTTTCGGCCATGACAAAACTGCAGAATCTGTGTGAAGGTTTGATTTGTGCTTCGAGTACTCACGATCAGCTGATTTACGAGTTAAACTGTAAAATGGAAGCAATTTGTGCGAATCACAGACCACCTGCGACTTCTGGGACTCGCCAGCATGTTGGAGATGACCTTGGAGGAGGCTCATAAGCACGGACCAGTGAAATGCCCACAAATTTGGCCATTTTGGATGGAAAGTACCAGCAGGACTCAAGGCTGATGAGAAAAAAAAACAGTCTGCCTGAAATTAATCAACAATTGTGGCTTATCTGACTCTGACTCCCAGGCTGCCCTCGAAACAGGCCAACTTATCACTTTTCTTTTGGGATATGTGTAAACAAAGGAAAAGCTCTGTCTACCCCCACCCCCGAGAACTTCTGTGAAGGCTTGACCAACATCTTATCAGGACTATGGTCTATCTCAGGGGTCGGGAACCAATGGCTTGCGAGCCAGATGTGGCTCTTTTGATGGCTGCATCTGGCTCGTAGACAAATCTTTAATAAAAAAAATAATGACAATAAAAAT